TTCACGCCGTGCGACAACTGTCCTTCGCTCTCTATGAGTTGCAGAGAGTTCGCGCAGTGGGACACCTATCTATCGCTCTCCTCGAGGTGTACGACTTCTATCCTTCGCTTTCCTCGAGGTGTAGAGAGTTCGCGTAGTGGGATCACCATCCTTCGCTCTCTATGAGGTGTAGAGAGTTCGCGCAGTGGGACACCCATCATTCCTTCTCTTTGGGTTATACAGGGTTCGCGCAGTGCGACAACCATTCTTCGCTCTCTTTGATGGATACAGACTTCGCGCCATGCAACAACCCCGTCTGCTCTACGTGACTTTTTGGCGATTTCCCCCGATTTTGGTGAATTTCTGCGATTTTTTGGGTACCTCTGATCTTCTTGGGGACCGTTATCGCTTCTGAGAACGTGCTACTTCTCCTTGATACCGTGTAGTACGCATATCAGGTTCTCTAAGCTGATTACTGCGTATGCAGCAATCTTGTGGGGGCGGGATGAACTAGGCTGAGCGGTGCAGGTATGTGCGTTTAGCTAACTATGGCGACCGTATGAAGCTGCGATCTTCTACATGATGAGGTACCGGTGGAATGGCCGCTCTCTCCAGTACTCACAAAACATTAGCGAATGCGACGAAGATGTCGCGCAGTATGACATACGATCTCACGTGGACTCGGGAGACGGCGTGCAGAGCCACGAGCAGCGGGCTCTCGGATCACGCAACCGCGCAAGCTCATGATGCATTGCGCCTGTCTGGCCACACGCTTCAACATGAATGGCTAGGTACGCGGGCCAAGGCAGCGGTAAGCATTCAATTGAGGAGCAAGGATGGCAACATCAGCGGTGGACAGCGATATAGCTTGCCGGCCTCACATTTCCTTGACCTCTTCATCCCGCCGTCTTCCTTGCTTTCTATCTACCATTCAAGCAAGAACGAAACCCAGCCATGGCTCCCATCGCAGTCGAGGAACCACCCGTGTCCAATGTGTATCATGCCAAAAACGGGCTCAAAACCTCCACTCCCCCTCTTATCACGCGGCCGATTCCCTACTCCGGTAGCCTCGATGAATACGAGTCGTTCAACGTGACCAACGTCATCGGCAAGGAGTTCCCCAAGCTACAGATCAGCGACATCTTGCACGACGACGCCAAGATCCGAGATCTAGCGGTGCTTGGTGAGTTTCAACGTGTTGTCATCCCGGGATGTGTTGCACTCGGCTGACTGGAGGAACAGTATCACAGCGCGGTGTCGTCTTTTTCCGCAATCAGGACCTCAAGATCGAGGACCAGAAGATCCTGGGTCAGAAGTTGGGAGAGTTGACTGGCAAGCCTGCTACATCGACGGTGAGTAACAGCAGAGAACATGTTTCAAACAATCGTTGACATGTCATGGCAGTTCCACCGTCATCCACTGCACAACTCCCAGCGAGGTCTTGCCGTCGATGAGCATGGAAAAGTAGACGATGATGTCTCCGTCCTTGACTCCACCGTTTGACTCTCCTCACACCATCTATACATCTTCTCCGCCGCTAACATCTCCCAGCAAATGCGCAAGCACTACGACGAATCCGGCCGCTACGCACCCGCAAGCAAGCTCCTAGCCTCAGAAGGCTGGCACGCAGAGTAGTTCATCTCATCCCCTCCCACAACCCCAAACTAACACCCACCCCAGCATAACCTTCGAACGCGTCCCCTCCGACTACGCCATCCTCAAACTCACCCTCCTCCCGCACGACGGAGGCGGCGACACGCTCTGGGCCAGCGGCTACGAAGCCTACGACCGCCTCTCGCCACCCTTCCAGCAGCTCGCCGAAAAGCTAACAGCCACGCACCACCAAGCCGAATTCAACCGCACAGCAGCAAAATACAACCTCACCCTGCTTGACAGCAAGCGCGGCAGCCCGGAGAACCACGGGCTGGATTTCACCGCTTCGCACCCCGTTATCCGCACGAATCCCGTCACTGGGTGGAAGAGTCTTTTTGGCGCGGGGCTGCAGGTGCGCGATGGGTGGATTGATGGCGTTGCGCCGCGGGAGAGCGAGATGCTCAAGGCGTACTTTTTGGATACGATTGCGCAGAATCATGATTTGCAGGTGCGCTTTCGCTGGGCCAAGGGGGATGTGGCGATTTGGGACAAGTGAGTTTCGTTCTCACTATACGCCGTAAGGGATGACAAGCTGACGTGTTGTTTCTTCCTCTAGCCGATCTGTCTTCCACACGTGGACCAAGTACGACTTCCTGTCAACTCTGTACTAGGATACCATGCTGACGAAATGCAACAGTGACTACGTGGGCAATCGACAAGGGAATCGAGTCGTCTCCATTGGCGAACGCCCATATTACGACCCCAACTCGACGGGCAGAAGGGAGGCGCTTCACAACGCGGACAACGCGAGGGGTTGAAAATGACACGCTTGCCAAATTGGAGAGAAGACTGGAGCAGTCCGGAGATCTCTTTTCCCTGCCTAGTATACATAGCGCGATCGCCAACCGATGAAGATCCATACGCCAGCTCCATTGCCTTTCAACTCCAATGCCTACGTGAAACTCGTAAACCATTCGTGCCACATCCCTTCAGAGTAAGTAAGAGACGTCCATCAACTCCCAACCCCACCTCCATGCTCCCTAACCTCCGCCTTGTCCAACTTCGGCACCTCGCGATTCAGCAGCGCTCTGAGTTCCGGCGAAATCACCCTTTCTTTCTCCGGCTCCTCGCCCTCAGGCACAACAGAACTCCCAGGTTGGCCGGCACTCTGCTCGCGACCGCTGGTAACTGCCCCACCCGGGGCACCACTCGACCTCCTCTGCGTACCCGCGATGATGGACCCAAGGGTACCGGCTCGAGGCCCTGCAGCAGCAGTACCGGACGAAGAAGACTGAGAACTGACTCTCGGTCTACCATCCGCACCGGGCTTCGATGTATCCGGCGGCATAGGGAGTCTCTGCCTTACGTTCGCAGGCGCAGGAAACGCAGCCTTGCGATCGACCGCCTCGACCATGCGCCTGAACCGCCCAAACAGCGCCTCGGCCCGCACCAACGTGCTCATCAAATCAATCGTGCCCGACAACTCATTCACATATTTGAGCACTTCATCAAAGCCCTTCAAATGCCCGATAATCACCTCGCGATGCTTCTCAAGCACCGCCATGGCGATGAAGATGTGGAAATCGGCGGACAGGTAGTCCGTCCACAGGGCCTCCCAGAGGCGCAGGATGTGCTCAAAGTCGAACTCGCGCTTGAACCAGACGAGCAGCATGCGGAAGAAGAAGAAGAAGTTGGTGCTGTCGAGGCGGCGCAGGTGCTCGTAGAGCGCGGGGTCGAGGAGTTGGCAGAGTTGGTCGAGGGTGAGGAGTTGCAGGCGCATGCCGGACTGGTCGCGGAGGAAGTTGCGCTCCATGCGCTGCATGAAGTTTGTGAAGGCCCAGAAGGCGACTGCGTCGTCTTGCTCGATGGCGTAGATGGGGGCTAGCAGGTCGGACATGCCTTGTACGTAGCCCAGGTCGCGGTTGTATTCGTTGTAGGTGAGGAGCATGTCTTTCATCTGCTCTAGGTGGACGTTGGTGCCGCTTTCGGCGAAGGGGGAGTCGGGGTCGGGATGGGGAATGTCTTCGCCGGCGAAGATGGGGAGGTGGCGGTCGGTGCGGTGGACGTCTTTTTCTACAGCGTGCGTTGCGTGGTCAGTTAATGGGCATCATCAGCAGTATGGACACTGGATGTGTTGGGGAGGTTTGGCTTACCTATTCGCATGCGCTGCTCTTTCCACCATTCGCGCTCTTCCAGCGTGCCTTGCTCGTCCACCATCCGCTCCCACCACGCGCCTTTCAGGCGGATGTATTCGTCTCGCAGGCTGTTCATCTTGGCGTGTCGTTCATCCTTGGTGCTTTGCCAGTCGTAGACTCCCAACAAAAACAGCCACGCCTCTTTCCGCACGCCGTCATCAGCTAATCCTCCATGGAAGATTCGCTCCTTGACCTCATCCGGCGTCTTCTCTAACCGGCCCAGTCGCGTGTTGAAATACCCATTCCACTCCTGCTGCGTCACCGGCTTCCTCCTATCGGTAAGACTCATCGCCTCGGCATCGAGAAGTTCAAACTGCCCAACCTCGGAGTCTTCCATCTCCAGTAAATCCTTCGCGGTCCAAATACGTTGATTGCGTTCGCGCTCGGACTGCTCCGCGATGCCCATCGCCCATCTAGCGAGATACAAGCGCGCAGAGTCGAACTCGTCACTAACGGTCTGCACCTGCGGATTTCGCATCAACGCTCGAACATGCGACGGCACGTTCTTGTTCTCGGCGACCGCCTGCGCCGTGCGGCGTGTGAAGGTGGTGACTTGGCTCATTTTCTCCAGGAAACTCCATCGCGCCTGCTTCAAAGCCGTCCCGACGGGATCCGCCTGTCCATCCTTATTCTTTCCCGCAGCAGCCTTATCGTCCTTGTTTTTCCCCTCTAGCACATTCTTCACGTGCTGCGGCGTCGGCTTCCCGCCACTCGCAAAAGACAGTTTGTCCGCATCGCTCGGGTCAATGAGGTAAATGTTGGGCTCTTGCGTGCTCCTCTCCGCCGTGACGTACGCCTTCAACCACCGGATGATTTCATCTCCGCCCCAGAATACGCCTCCGTGCTGGCCCGCGATGTCGAACGTCTCTCTTTGCAACTTTTTGCGCTGCTGAATCGTCGACTGACACTCGGAGTCGTGGAAGAAGAGGGGCGGGAAGCTGCTGCCGTGGCGGGTGTTGATGATAATGCTGCCGAACCACCAGCCTGAGCTTGGAGGGCGGACGGTGATGCTGTAGATCTCGCTCAGCGGGACGGCGAAGGCGGAGGCGCCGAGGGAGGAAGAGGAGTGTTCCGTCGTAATGGGCGGAGCGGGGACGAGTGGGGAGTGTGTGGGGGGAGAGTCGGATTCGGCGAGCTCGACTTTGGTGTAGATGTCCTTAGATTCGACCAAGTTGCCCTCGGGCGTCCAAGACAGTAAGAGGCTGTGCTTTTCCGATGATTTGTCTTTACTGCTTCCCGGACTCGAGAGTGATCCTGTGCCGGGCTTCTGCTGGACCAAAGCGATGTAGCCGGCGACATTGTCTTTGGCGGACGGCGTAGGGTGGAGGTAGACCTTGCTCTTGGTGTACAGCAGTTTAACGCCTTTGCCCGTCCGAGTGTGTTTTATGGTGCTGTACCCGCCCTCCTCATCGTCACTCAAGTCGTAGAAGCTTGCGGTTGGCGATGGAGGGCTCGGAGGGTCGGCGAACGCATCTTGCACTGCGCTTGGGATGGGTGGCATGGTGAGGAGCGGTGATGATGGTAAGGGCGCTGTTGAGCAGGCGAGAATATTATGGATTATGGATTTGGATTTGTTAGGAGGATCAATCCATGTTGTGTCGTACGTGCGTAGTCATCTCGTGATACTAGAGGTATAGAGCATGCAAGGCGAGGTGTAGTACGCGGTCGGTATGGCGGGGTGTGGCGGTGCATGACGTCCGCCTCGATCGTCAGTCACCAAGCAATCAGGCACCCGTTGCCCGCATTCGATGTGCTTCTAGACAATGCACAAGCCTCAAAGTACCCTTGCTTTATGAAAGCCGCGATTCCAATACTTTACTCTCCACCACTTAACTTCCCTCCAAATCGTCTAGGAGCAAACCGCAAGACATCGCCTTCTTTGGCGCCTCAGGCACGATTCAGGCTGACAATGCTGACTCCCCAGAAAGCTTAAAACCCACGCTAGTCCCAAAAAACCATATCGAGAACTGGCTTGCCCGTGAGAGCTTCTCGACGACAACGAAACGCGCCTTCGATTGGACAAGGTCGCTAGAGAACAGTTGATCAAAGGTCATCGCCCGGATGTAATCAATTTCCACTGCCCAAACTCCGTCAAGCTGTTATATCTTGGCTTCGAGTACAAATCAGAGCGTAAGCGAAGCCATCTCATATCCTTTCTCTCTTCAATCCGCATCCGATCGGACTTCGTCAGTATGGCTGCTCTGATTCGGGATACGCCGTTTGGCCAGCTTGTTCGCTGTCTCTCTCGTAATTCCAGTTTCTTGTATCCCGACGAGATCGACTCGAGATTGCGGTCGAAGTTTCTCCACTCCGACACCCGTTCAGATAACGATCAACCACCTCGACAGCCGGAGAAGGACAGCCATGCCACCGAGTCGAACGATCCGCATGTCTTCTTGGTAGGATGGTACGACGCAGATGACCCAGAGGTATTCACCCGCCGATTCGAACCACAGCGAAAACTAACCGACACCGCCAAAGAACCCCCAAAACTGGCCGCAGTCCCTCAAATTCCTCACCGCCCTGCAGATCAACCTCCTCAACTTCGCAATCTACATCGCCAGCTCCATCTACGTCCCCGGCGAACCCGACATCACCCACGACTTCCACGTCAGCCGCACGGTCGCAACGCTCGGTCTCTCCCTCTACACCATCGGATACGGCCTGGGTCCCATGCTATGGTCGCCGCTCTCCGAAGTGCCGCAAGTCGGACGTCGCGACATCTACTTCTGGACGCTGCTGGTGTACATTCTGCTACAAGTGCCGACGGGCTTCGCGGTGGATGTGGGCATGCTGCTCGTGTTTCGCGTCCTGACGGGGTTCTTCGGCAGTCCGGCGTTGGCGACGGGTGGGGGCACGATTGCGGATCTGTACGACCCTGCTCGCTCCGCATACGGGCTTGTTCTTCTCGGATTCTTTGGCGTACTTGGTCCGGTGTTTGGACCTATTGTCGGTGGCTTCGTGGCGCCGGCAAAGGGGTGGCGATGGGAGATTTGGGTGGTGACGTGGCTCGCATCGGCCGTGCTCATCATGCTTTTCTTCCTGCTTCCGGAAACGAGCGCGGCCAATATCCTGCATAGGCGCGCGAAGAGAATCCGTCGAGCCACTGGCCACGAGCGCTTCAGAAGCCAAAGCGAGATCGACACGGCGCACTATGCGTGGCGGGACCACGCGAATGTACTCGGGACGGCGTTCTCGCTGACGTTTTCTGAGCCAATCCTCTTCTTCCTGGATCTGTATACGGCGTTGTTGTACGGCGTGTTGTTCACGTGGTTCGAATCCTTCCCATTGGTGAGTGGCGCCCCCCTCGTTGATTCAACCATGGCAGCATCACTAACCTTACCAACAATCTGCGCATCCAGGTCTTCGGAGACATCTACCACTTCTCCAGCGGCGCCCAAGGCCTCGCCTTCCTCGGCATCTTCGTCGGCGGCATCATCACCCTCCCCTGCTTCCTGCTCTGGATCAAGCACGGCCTCATCCCGCGCTTCACCAGCCCAACCTTCAAACCCGAGACCGTGCTGCTGCCCACCTTCTTCGGCGCAGCCACTCTCCCCCTCTCGTTGTTTTGGTACGGTTGGACCGCGCGAGAAAACATCCCCTGGATCGTGCCGATCATTGGCAGCGCCTTCTTCACCGTCAGCATTATTACGCTCTTCTTTCCCGTGCTCAACTACCTGGGCATGGCGTATCCCCATCACGTCGCATCGGTGTTTGCCGGAAATGCGCTCTTTCGGGCTACGTTTGGGGCTAGCTTTCCTCTTTTCGTAAGTGCTTGTCGGATGTTGTGGACGTGTAGTATGCACATTGAGGCTGATGTTGATGACTGCAGGCAAGACAGCTTTTCGAGAAGCTTGGAATAGGGTATGTCCCTAGTCCATGCTTGATGATGCAAAGCGACGCTGACTGCTTGCCGTCTATTAGTGGTGGCAACTCGCTTCTGGGTGGAATCTCGGTGGGCTTCATGGTTCTTCCGTTTGTGTTCTATCGTGTGAGTGGTGCAGCTGTACCCATCATCAGCGCCTTCTTATTAATGCACAGCCAGCACGGATCGAGACTTCGGCAGATGAGCAGGAGAGCGAAACACGATGAGTAGGCGTAACGAGTAACTGTGTGCGTAACTTCATTTCGGTGTCGGGGTACCAATAGGTAGCTTCTTCAGAACAAGTCAGACCTGCTGGGCCCTCTGCCGCCGTTCTGCACATGCTCACGGCATGCACGAACTGTTTCGACATACGGCTGAGGGATGCTACCGATACGCTCCCCCAGATCCATAGGAAGACCCACCGCCCTGCGGCTGATAGCCAGCATTCGCGGGGCTGCCTGACCTGCCTCCACCAGTACCAGCACCAGCACCACTGCCCCATAACCTCGCCTTCAGTCTGTCCTGCGCAGTCCCTCCACCACTGCTCGACGGCGGGGTAGGATCGAAAGACGGCCGACTAGGCGCCTGCTGCGATTGCATACTCTGATACGAGCCCGCGCGCTGCGAAGGCAAGGGCCGCGCTTGTGCGGGGGGAGGAGCGAGATTGCCACCTGAAGAATAACTAGTCGGCGCTGCAGGCTGTCGGCGCACACTGCGCAGACTCTGGGGTTGCAGTGGGCCCGCACCGGCGCCTTGCTGGGCTGGGGGATCCCACAAGTCGCTCAAGCTGCTTCGCTGGCTGGTCGAGACTTGGCTTTGCTGTTGCACGCTGGCCATGGCGGGGCGGGCGGCGCCGGTGGCGGCGTTGAAGTAGCCGGATGCGGCTTGCATATATGGCTGGGGCGTGAGGGTTCGTCTGCTTTCGTTGGGGTCTGGCGGGAGCCATGGTGGAAAGGGCCGGCCTTTCTCCGTGTAGTATGCTCGGAGCACTCGGGTGATGTGAGAGTCGTCTTCCGTGTCGCCGTCTTCTTCGTTAGAGAGGAGCGTGCGCCGGATTTGCTTGTAGTGGGTGGTTGTTTGCGTGAGCAAATTGCCCAAGTACGAGGACACCTTCTCCGACATGTTGTCGTCGGTGTGTGAAATTCGAAGCTGATGATGCCGCCGTTCCAAGGCAACCAAGTCCGGCAAGAAATCACCAAAACGCAGACCCTCCAATCGCTTGATACCCCTCCGTGACAACCGGCGTCGCAGTATTGGGCATAAACTTCCACACGACGCTCAAAAAGTGCAACACGAGCGGGTCGATGGGCAGCAGTCGGGCAAAGTGCAGCAGAATCATATACCCCCAGAGCAGTTCCACGGGCGGCCAGTGAGGTTCCCAAGCCGTCTGATCTGCTGTCGCGTTGTAGGTCGCGGTGAAGCCGCCGTCTGCCCGTTGCTCGAAATGTAACATGTGTCGAGCGGGGCGAGAGGAGGCGGGGTGTGGATGGGGCCGCGAGGTGGGAGGGTGGAAGTGGGAGGTTGCGGCCTGACGGCGTCTGGAGGGCTGGACTTAGCGTGGGCGGGATGGATTTATGTATTGCCGAGAAGCACGTGAAGATGAGATGAGGGCGTCACATTCGAGCGGTTTACCAACAACCCCAACATGGATGGCAATGGCTAAAAGGACACAAGTAACGTGGCTGAGAATTATTCCATTGCGGCATTCTGTACGGATTTTTGCACCTCTCCTCAGCCCCATAGAGAACTACTACCACGCCCCTCCTTCCCAGCACTCGAGCGCCTCCAATTTGTCCCACTCACTCCTGCGCACATGCTCATTTCTTGTCACGCTGGCCGTAAGCCTTGGTGGCGTAGTCACCACCGTGCACGATCAGATCCTGTGGCCTGTAGTCGTGCTTGCCGCTGAAGTAGGATTCGAGGATGGCCTTGGTGCCGGCGGCATAACGCTCCTGGGCGTCGATGGACGTGCCGGACATGTGCGGCACCATGGCGTTCCCGCCGCCCCATGGGTTCTTTGCGTAGCGGAGCGGGTGATCCTTGGGGGCCGGCTGAGGGAACCACACGTCACCGCCGTAGCCGCGGAGATGGCCGCTCTTGAGCGCCTCGGCCACGTCCTCCTTGACGACAATGGCGCCACGGGCGGTGTTGACGAGCCATGAGCCTGTAAAAGGCGTTAGCGGTGCATGAATGAAGTGAGTCTCGTGAGGACTATCAACATACCCTTCTTCATCTTGCTGATGAGGTCCTTGTTGAACAGACCGCGAGTCTTCTCGTGGAGCGGACAGTTGATGGTGACGATGTCACACTGAGACAACATGTCCTCCAAGCTGTCGACGCGGCGGCAGCCAATCTCCTGCTCCACCTCCTTGGAGAGGGGCTGGTAGTCGAAGTAGAGCAGTTCCTTGCAGTCAAAGGGCTTCAGCCTGCGCAGGACACGCTCACCAATGCGGCCGACGGCGACGGTGCCCACGACCTTGTTCTCGAGATCGTACTCGTTCTTGGCCGCCTCGGCGACGTTCCAGTCACCGCGCTCGATCATTTCGTGCGCTGGCACGAAGTTGCGGACGAGGGTCAGGATGGTCATGAGCACGTGCTCGGCAACGGAGACAACGTTCGATCCGGTGACCTCGGCGACGGTGATGCCGCCATTGGTCTTGTTGGCGGCGTTGAGGTCGACGTGGTCAGAACCAATACCAGCGGTGATGGCAATCTTGAGGTTCTTGGCCTTGGCCAGACGCTCAGCGGTGAGGTAGCCGGGATGGAAGCTGTGGAGGGTCAGTGACTGCGCGGGGTGTTTAGACGAGTTCGCAGTGGGCTTACGGAGTGGTGATGATGACTTCGGCGTCAACAAGCTCCTGATCGAACTTGCTGTTCTCGCCCTCCTTGTCGGAGGTGGTGATGAGGGTGTGGCCCTTGTCCTCCAACCACTTGCGGATACCAAGCTCGTTCTCGGTCGTGCCTAGAAGGCGGGGCTCTTGCTGAGCATGTTCACCACCCTGAGAAGCTGCAAGTCAGACGGCCGTTGCCATTGAAGCTCGACACGGAGCGACGGGAGCGCGACATACGTCGTAGAGCACGAGCAGGACCTTGCCCTGTCGAGAAGAAGAAGCGGTTAGCGTCCTCACCCCACCAAGTCCAGCTCCGGGGGCGATGCGCTGGGAGAGCAAAGAGCTCGCCGGGCGGGCGAGACGGAGAGCAGAGCGTGCAAGTACCATTGTGAAGAAGTGGTGATGAGAAATTTGGGGATGATGGAGCGGCGGTGACGGAGAAGAAGAAAAGAGGCGCTGGGTTTAAGTGCCCTGAGATGGTCGAAAGCTCCGGAGAGAGGAAGCTCTGGCCCTTTGCCTGGCCGACGCAGCAACCGATTAGCCTTTCCCCCTTCCATCCAGCCGACGCCCGCCGCCGCTATTTGCGGGGATTCCACGTACCGATGAGGAAGTGATTTGTATTTGGGGCGAAACTCCACCAAAAACAGGCGGGATTGGATGGGAGGCGTGTGTGATGATGGAGGTTTGACAGAGCTGCGGGCAATCTTTCCACCTCCAGCCAAGGTATTTATTCTCGCAGAGCTGGTGAGGAGCTACAAGCAGCTACCGCCGCCGTGTTCTATTCCGCTCGTCGCCATCTCGACCCCACCGTTTACGTAGCCATTACACGAGTGCAGCGGAATTCCGCCCAAGCACTTCCGTCATCGTGCCGCACACCTTCCCCACCGCGACTGTGCGCCCTCCGTCTCTGCAGGCCTGGACCTTTGCGCATCTCCGCGGCAGACCTGCCGTTTTCCATCCAGACTCTAGACTCGCCGTGTCTTTCGTTTCATGTGCTGCGGGCCATTGGACGGAATCGCCTTCCTAATCCAGCCCAATCCGTTCTGCTTGTTCTCCCATCTCCGAGGATTCTCCGCTTGCAGCACTGCTTCCCGATATCGAATACCGCGAAATATCTCTCCACTCAAATGACAGCCGTGTCGCAGGAAATGTCTAGATTCTGGAGCTGTGCCAATTTGGTCGCTCCGCCCTGCTAGCCCCATTGATCTTGCTTCTGCCTCGCTAGTCTACCTATACCGTCTTCTCTTGATCGGAAGGCAACGGAGCCTTCTTGGACTTCGTGGCTTCTCGAATACCCAACGTCCTACACCCCCGTCCCCTTCGCGGCGACATTGCGGATGTTCAGCCACTGCATTTTGGCTGAGTGTACGCTGGCTCAAGGCTGGGATGCCCAAAGGGACAAGTTGTGACCTACGGTCTCCCTGTACGATCGTTGATCATCACCACATGGAACTCACCCGGTTGTAGCACACGTGAGAGACTGCACATCAGCTGCAAGTATTCGATACACCGTCCGCCACATGAACCGCCCTTCCGGAACTCCCGCCAGGCTGATGCAAGTCAGCTGTCGCAAGGCTAACAGTAGGCAGCCCATCTCCCACCGCACTCGCGCATTAAAGTTGTGGGTATCGCATCGGAACACAACGGCTGGACCGAAGATCTGCTGCGTGAATACAAGAACAGTCATCCAGGCTGTCAGCAGCACCGGGCTGTGCAAACCACGCCTCGACGAAAATGTAGACTAAATACTCCATTTTGAGTAGCTAGCTGCTCAATTATGATGAGCTAAATTGCTATTTCCAGCGAACAAAGACGATCAATTGCCGGCCTTCCGTCGTTGTCCGCCACGCTGATTCGCTCGGAACGCGGCCGGGGGCATGCGAGGGCGACATCATCTCGCAGCGACAAACGTGGCGGCGCTGCGAGTGTCCATGATCCCCGGATAGGTTCCGTTAATAGGGCACGCAGGCTGACTACATCCTCCCTCGTGGCTGCGTCCAAATACACAGTATGCATTGCATCGCCTTGGAGGAAGGATATATAGCTGCAGCCTTCCGTGTGCTTCATGTTCTGACACCAGCCTCATCTCACTGCGACACTTGCCCACTCCTCATCCTCACCCAACTCAACAACCAAACAACCCATTTCTATCCCAACTCTCGAAAGCATAAGATCCAGTCATCTTTTCCTTTGCACCTTCAGGCATCAGCGACGCTTTTCCAGCGTTCGCCTTTTCGTATTTCTTATTCTTCATCATCACCATCTCTCGCTTTTCGTATCTCCTCTTCCAAACAAACTTATCAGAAACACAATCAACCATGGGTCGCGGCGGCTACAACAAGAGCGCATTTCAACCCAGCACCTCAGCATCTCCATCCAGTCCCCTACCCTCACAAACCGCATCGAAGAGCATCAGGTCCACCAGCCCCGCCCGAAGCGGTGACGACAGTGGCCGAGGCGGCTACAACTAGTCTCCTCGTGCTCGACAACGAACACCAAACTTCTCGGCCCCTTCTCTGGTAGAAGGGGACTTTCCCTTGCATTATGAGAGGCGGTTTTACTTTCGATCACGACCTATCGGGCTGCGGTGTTTTCGAGCGAGGTGGAGTTTACATGATTTCAACTACGATGATGTTCAGCGACACAAGCATTTCTCGGCGCGCAGCAGGTTACGGTGGTGCGCATTTCTGGAGCGGATAGATGGGCTTGTATGCATTTCCAGGGTCTGAGAGATGGAGCTATCTGCATCGCAGGAATCTGTTGTTAGACGGGGAGTTTGGTTGCACTCCGGGAGTCTGATAGATGGGTCTTTTCGCATTTCAGGAGTTGGATTAGACGGGCGAATCTTTCTTGCGTCTTGGGAGTTATTTCTTTGGTCTCATCATTCGCCTTCTTCACTGTACATGTACTCTTCAATGTATCGGCTACTTCGAAACTTCTTCTCCTCACTTCCCCACGCAAAACTTCTCAAATACCACCCCAAGTACCTCCTCCACATCGCCCGCTTCGCCCTTGCCCGTAATCCTCGCCAAGCAATCAGCCGCGGCTCGTAGATGCTCCGCAGCCACCACGATATCAGCGTCTCCGTGGTCTTCAACGCCGCCGTCGACGCTTTCCAACGCCGGATCTACCGCCAACAGAAATGCCTCGAGATGATCGGCACAGTCCACAAGCAGTAAGCGGTGTCGCTCGCTTGCGCCCAGGGAGTCTTGCCACATTGAAGGGTCTTCGGCTGCGCCGGGGACGTCTGGGGTTGTTGGGGATGTCAGGGAGGCGAAGAAGTTGATGAGGCCTTGGAGGAAGGGTTGGATGCCGCTGTTGTTGGATGGCGCAGTGGACTTGGACGAGCGCGGGTTCTCGGCTTCTTTGCAGGAGATGATGTGGATGCGGTCTGCTGTGATTCCAGGTAACGCGCTCATCGTGGTCTGGATGGCTTGTTCGAGTTGTTGAGGGTTGGTGGCCAGGTCAGATTTGTTGATTACGACGACGACGTTGTCTTTGCTTCGGACGAGCTCAGATGCGGTTGAAACCACTTCTGGGTCCAGTCGTAATTGAGCTGCTGCTGCATTTGTCTCGAAACTCAACACGACAATCACGACGTCGCTTTCGGAAGCACGTGCTTTGGTGCGCCTCATTCCTTCTTCCTCGATTTGGCCGATGAGATCCTTAGGTTGAACGTTGCCTGCCCCATGTCCCTGTTGATGCTTTCGCAACCCAGCAGTATCACCCAAGCGGCAGAAGTATCCACCAAGATCCAGACCAACCTCAATCACATCTCTCGTAGTCCCTGCCTCCTGACTCACAATGGCCGCCTCTCGCCCAATAACGCAGTTCAACAACGAACTCTTCCCCGCATTCGGCGCTCCAAGCAAAGCAATGCTAATGCCATGTCGCAGCAGCTCGCCCTTCATGGCATTGTGGCTGTGCGCCAACACCATCCGACGCAGCCCCAAAACCTGCTCGGAGACAGAAGCGCACAACTCCGCGGGACTTTCGTCAAAATGCTGGTCCTCGCTGAAATCGATTAGAGCCTCCAACTCCCCTCTCGCATACAACAGGTGCTGTCTCCAGCCTTCGTATAACTTTGCGAGTCTATCCGTCGTCCCCCGAACCGATAATCGTCGCTGCTGCTCCGTAGTCGCCGAAAGGACATCTCCGAGTGCTTCGACTTGCGTCAAATCGAGCCGGTCGTTCATAAAGGCCCGGCGCGTGAACTCCCCCGGCTCCGCATACCGCGTGCGTTTCGAGGCGGTGGTGCAGCGAGGAATCGCAGCTAGGACTGCTTTCGTGGTCGCTGGGCCGCCGTGGATGTGGAGTTCCAACACGTCTTCGCCCGTGACTGTGCGAGGGGCGGGATAGTTGAAGATGAGCGCATTCGGGTCGAGCACATTCTCGTCGTGCGCGGCATTGAATGGCTCATAAATGGTCCTCAAAGTAGCATATCTCGGCCTGGGAGCCGGTTTCCCTGGACAGAGCGCCTTGTAGATGTCGAGACATGCTGGGCCAGACACTCGCACGATTGCTATGGCTGCTCGTCCGGGCGCTGTGGAAAGAGCGTAGATGGTGGAGTCATCCCCGGTAGACAGCGACGAGTAGAATCTCTGTGTGCTAGAAACTTTCAATTGCCGTAGGGTGTGTGGTGATTCGAGCGCTCGAGGGAGTCTCGGACGGAGGTGTGCATTAGAGCTGAGAAGCCTGCAATGCCTCGATGCTCGACCTTGCGCTGTTGCACGCCATACACTCGCGGCAACCGCTCTCATTGATGGGCGCTCCGCACGTCTGGGATCATGGTGCAATCAACGAAGGAAAGGCAATTGAACAGCTCGTCCAACTGCTGCATCCGCTGGAAGTCCACGCTCGCCAAGACGGCGTTCTGCCTCAGGCAAACTTTCACCAATCGTTGAAGCGCTGGGCTTCACACTCGAACGACAACAGTAATTTAGGGGTTGGTAGGTGTTCGTCAAAGTACATAATTCATGGATCAATATCGCACATGTCCGCCCATCGTCAATGAATCGGCAACTTCACAAACTCCCATCCTTCCTGGAGATCATCAATTCGCATCAGGAGACCATTCACGACCCTAGCAATCTCTCGATCCGACACACTCCTCTTCTACCGCCGATTCAGCCAAGATCGTTTCAATTTGATCCCCCGATGCGCAGGTAGTCACCAGGCATACCGCTCATCATCACTGACGTCCGCGCCCTCACGCCAGTCTTCGTCGCCACTGGGCTCGCTGTCAAGGAAATTCGCCTCGGTGTACTGATTCTCCCGCGGCCGCTGATTGTCAATGCTAATCTCGACCTTATCGCATAGGCCTTGGATGAAGCTTTCTGGCTGCTTGCGCCAGTCTCCATCGGACTCGTCCTCGGACGACGAGGATGACTCCTCCGCTGCGGTGGATGCGGACTGGCTTTCTGCGACTCGGACGCTGCGGCGGGGTCCTCTGCGGGCTGAGGTGGGTGCGGGCGACTCGACGTCTGAATATGCAGCTGCGTCTGCTGGTACTTTGCGAGGTGTGACTCTGACGTGAGAGAATCTGCGGCTCGCGGAGCCGGGGGTGACTTCTACTCTCTCTGCTTCTCGATCACGGTGCACCGCGTCTCTCCACAACCTAAATTGTCTCAGTGATCCGAGATTGGGGTTGGGCTCTTCTTTCTTGCGGAGATAGACTCTGTGCAAGCGTTCGATCCACTGGTCCCGGAAGCCCGCACGGTCGCGCCAGGGAATATTGATGTGCGCATGTATAACCGGATGTCGCAGGTCCGGCAGATCTTTCGCGCCCTCCACCAAGGAGCGGAACAAGTTTTGAGCGGCCTCTGCCTCCCATTTCTGGAGGTGAATGAGCTCGAGATGGCGTAGTGTGGATGGCCAAGTGGGGACCTGATCGTCGGTCAGAAGGTGATCGTAGAACGCAATGGCGTCGTTGAAAGTGATGCGCTCGCTGTAATAGGTCAGATCCATCTTGAGGACCTCCAGCCGAGGGCACAGCGCTCTGAGCTGTTGGAGAAAGGCAAGACTCAGGGCTGCATTATGATTGAGGACGAGCTCGCGAAGCTGCGAGCCACCCGTGGCGAGGTAGTTGAGTAGTAGCTCGCTCGTAACCTCGAGGCAATTACTCAACTCCAGTCGCTGGAGATTGTTTGGAATATGCTCCAGAAAATCTTCCATGACGATGTCGCATGAGATGAGCGTCAGATCTTTCAAGTGTTGCAGTGTCGAAATTGTCGTTGCTAATGCGTGCGGTCTGGCAGAAGCATCGTCCGGGGGTTCCGAGGCGCTGTTTTTGAAATCGAACCCACAAACCACGAGACGCTCCAGGTATTCGAAAGACTTGCTCAGATGAACCTGAGTCATCCAGCTGTACATGTTCGAGAGATCATTTGTCATTTGGATGGGAACCATGTCTCTTGTCCAGCGGAAACTTCTGAGTCTTGAGCCTGCCGCGTCCAACGATTGAACAAACTCGACCGGGTACTCCCAGCGCTGGCACTTATACTGAAGTCGGTACGGTGGACTATCGATCGGATGTACAATTTCCAAGTGTTGCAAGCGCGGAAGCTCTTCCAGTAGACCAGATATCTGGAATGGCCTTTTGTTGTGTGCAACGTATACGAGGCGTGTGATGTCGAGGATCACGCTCTTGATTCGGTACTTGTAGCTCATGTAGAGCGAGTCCTGTGGCGCCTTGACCAGATCTAGCAGGTTGTGCGGCTGCAGACTCGTGTGGAGGAGAGGCGACTCGTAGTAAGCCTCTAGTGCTGGTACTGCAAAGGCTCGACATGTCCGCGCAGCTCGTATGAGCCACGTAGCGTTGGCCTTCGCCGTCGTAGTTTGTTCCTGCATAGGCTGCGATGCGAAGATGAAGATGTTGCGCAGCACTTCAGCAGGCAAGCCTGTCCAATCCGGGATCTTTCCATCACTAGGCCCGGTGAACTTCCGTCCAACATCCTCTTTGCTCTTGTCGCCTGCCGCCGAGCCTCCATTTCCCCTCCTCTTCTTCATCCACCCCAGCGGCCGCGGTTTGAACCGATCTTTCCGCTTTGTGGCGGCGCGAGTCTCGGGTTTCGCCCGGCGGGAGGTCTTGCGTCGCTTTCTCGAGCGCTGTGGCTGAGAGGGGCCTGCAGCAGCCTCTGCTTCTGGTTGGTACTCGTGCTCACTGTCACCGTCCCCTTCATCAAAGTCGTCGGAATCGGGTTCGTGGTAGATGGAGCGTTTGCGCTCGGCACGCTGTCGAGCGGACCGACGCTTGACGCTCGACATGCTGGCCGTCGTTGGGGGATGGAAGACGGTGAGAGTCCAGGGTGGAAAGTTGCCTGGAGGATGGGCGATTTCACCCAAAGTTCACCTGAAGTTCACATGCTGCACTTTCATGCAGGGCTGACTCAAATTGCGGGTGAAGGTGCAGGCAGCCAGCCAGTGACGTCGTATGATCGGCACGAGCCGACACCACGAAAGCTTAAACGCTCGGTCGTGAGTTTGAGCCGCTGTTTAAGACGCAAGGCTGTCACTATGACCGCTTCCAAAACGAGGGCTTTTGATATATATCGATGTAGCTTTGGGAGACACTCTTGCCCAAAGGTACACTCCATACTTGTGAGTTTATAGTCCTCTCAAGGCCTCAGGCCCGCAGTGCCACACCAACTCCCTTTGTCCACTTGTGCGTACCAGGTGATTGCCGCAGTGACAATCATGGCTTACGTCCCCAAGCTGCATGGAAACCCTGATGTGTTCCGCGTTCAATAATGGACATATGTTCACGTATCGTTTGCCGCCCCATTTCCGCCTCGTCCGCCGTTTTGTTCGGTGCTGCCACCTTGTCGTACGTGAGATCGATTATTGGCAAACAATGCTTGAGACTATACTCGCCGATCAGGTCCGTCTCTGGATGGCCGGGCCATTTCCCATACATCCATCGGTAGAACCGCGACTCCACGTCGACGAAACCAGCGTCCTTTAAGTAGCCCTCCAGCTTTCGCCCAACGTCCATTTCGAGACCGACTTTCCTGGCGCCAGCAAAAATATCTTTGTGCCAGGTCCAATCCTCGTCGATCCGCTGTCGGTCATGGTCGTAGAAGATGGCCTCTAATTCTTGCAGCTCCACCCATCCGCCAGGCTTCACCAATTCCTTTGCTTGTGCAATGTACCCTCGCCAGTCCGTCATCCCGCATGTCAGCAGGCGAGAATAGAGGTGATCGAAGGAATTGGGGGCGAACGCGGGCGAATCTGGATCTTGTACCAGTTTGAAGATGTCGCCCTGGACAAATGTGACGCGGCCATTGCGATGGGTCTGTGGCACCTCGGAAAGATCGACACCAATCACGTCTTTGGCGTTGGGATATGCCGCGGCAAGGTAGGCAGTCATGACGCCCGTCCCACAGCCGACTTCGAGGATCCGTTCCGGATGCACCAGTGGTGCGTGGAAGGGCTGATCGTGCATCATTCGATTAAGCGCACGGGACTGGAGATCCAGGCGCTCGTGCTCGGGAGCACTTTGCGGTAGGATCAGCGTGCTGTGCGAATCTCGCAATTCTTCTCTCACTCACTCATTAGGTAGCAGATAGGCGGAGTCAGTTGTATGGAACCCTCTTCCTTGCGTCGAGGCCATCTTGTGCTCGGGATAAATGGCAATGCCTCACAAACGATGAGCGAGGCAACAGTGTGCTGGAAGAGATGAGAGAAGCACTTGAACAGAAGACAAGGAGAGATGAAGGTCGAAGGTATTCATAGATACCTTCTAGTCTTAACTGGCTGGACTGGGTTGTCGATGCGCTAACGGTAGATCACGCCGAGTGCTTACGTATCTTCTGACCCGGAGCCTGCTCGTTGAAATCGATTTAGTTGTCAACGCACGGCGGTGGATTGCCCCGATTTAGCCATTTGCTGACAGCTTGGGCCCCACGGAGGCCGAAGATCCCCGGAGAGTGAAGCGTAGCTCAACGCCGCGGTACACAGGTACTCTCTTCGTTGTCTCGCGAATGCTTGCCTTTGGTGGATTGTTGAAGATGGTTGCGGGGCACTGCAGCAAAGAGATTCGCAATATGAATTGTAGCTTTGACGTGAGCGGGCTACTTCGTCAGCAAAACTGCGTTGGGCTGATGTGGAGTGACCCATTACGACCACGCCGCGTGGGAGTCTGCTCTCACGGATTAAAATTAATGCTTGACTCCAATGTTTGCATTCCAGGCCAAGAGCGAGGTGTTGCAATGCCTCAATGCGCTCGCGTGCAGATAAACGAAGAATTTTGACACTCGTGATTCAACATGTGTCCCATGACTTTATTGGCTGAATCATCAAGCGAGAGGTCTCCACCTCGCGTTCCCAGCTTTTCACGGTCGGCCACCCTGAGGCAGTACCTGCGTGCTCCGTACCCGCCTCTCTGCACGTCACTTGCATCTCGCAGCTACCCTGTTCCCCCGACCAGATCAGCCCGACGAACCACCTCTACCTTTCACGGGATGTTGAGCGCTGACATCACTTGACGTGCTCGTCTCCGCCGCGTGCACCACCCTCCCCGGACCACGCTGCGCGGTGCCCGAGTGCCCGTGCGCGTGCACCCTGCCGACGGCTCGAGTCGACTCGCGACACCTCACCTCTCACGTGCCTGCAGCCATGCAGGACGTCACAACGTCAGCCCCAGCAGCCATGGGGCATGCGCCTTCCCTCTCTCCAACCCTACACGCTGCGAAGCCGAGCATCGAGCCTGTGGGCAAACCAGCCAACGCCCTAACGCCACCCACAAGCGAGGAGCTGAACAACCCCGAACCGGGGAAAGAGTTGGATGAATCCGACTTGAGTGAACTTGACCTGAGCGATGACGACGATGGGGAGGAAATTGAGCCCGATCATTACTGGGACGATGGCAAGATCCCCGTCTTCAAACCCACCATGGATCAGTTCCGCAGTTTCAAGAAGTTCATCGAGAAGATTGACAAGTATGGAATGAAGTCGGGCATTGTCAAGGTCATCCCGCCTCCAGAATGGTAAGCGACGAGATACCGAGACAGAACACACCTCGAAAGACACTAACGTGATCTGGTGACAGGCGCCAGGACCTCCCCAAGCTGGACGAATACGTGAAGCGCATCAAGATCAAAAACCCCATCACTCAAGAATTCAATGGCACTCAGGGCATATACACCCAGCAGAATGTGGAGAAGCAGAGATCATACAACCTCCCCGAATGGAAGGCTCTCACCCAAGAGTCGCAGTATCAGCATCCAGCGAGACGAGGAGAGCGGAGAAGGAACCAGGCGCAAGTTGTGCGAGGTGGTGGTAGTGTGCGAGCCCGGCAAAGCACGGCTGCTGCTCCCGACTCGGAAGATGGTGCCACGCCGAAACGCAAGCCCGGACGTCCCAAGCGCAACACCGGTCCGGCTCCAGAACCCGACTCTGAGGGCGAAGCGAAAGGGAGGAGAAGCAGTAGCCGAGCACAAGCTACACCTGCACCTTCAACTCCCACCGTGAAACCAGCCGAGAAGAAGCCGAAGGGAAAGCCTGGGCGTCCTGCAGGCTCCAAGAATGGAACGGGCGCTGGCCAGACGAAATCAGTCACTTCAAGACGATTGAACAACACCGCCGAAGCGGCCGAATACATCGACGAGAAAGCTTTCCACGATTTCGAGTATGGCCTTGACGACTTGGACGAATTCACGCCTGAGCGTTGCGCAGAGCTCGAGACGCACTACTGGAAAAGCTTGGGCTTCAACCAACCCATGTACGCAGCCGACATGCCGGGCTCACTTTTCGATGACTCCGTCACCAGCTGGAACGTGGCCAAGCTGGAGAACCTTCTCGATGTGCTCGGTACGAAAGTGCCTGGCGTCAACACTGCATACCTATACATGGGCATGTGGAAGGCAACGTTCGCCTGGCATCTCGAGGACGTGGATCTCTACAGTATCAATTACATTCACTTTGGCGCCCCGAAACAGTGGTACAGCATCTCCCAAGAGGACGCTCGGAAGTTCGAGAAGGCCATGAAGGCTGTCTGGCCAGTGGATGCAAAGAACTGTGACCAATTCCTCCGCCACAAAACCTACTTGATCTCGCCGGATGTGTTGCAAAAGCAGTATGGCGTCAAAGTCAACAAGCTTGTCCACTACGAAGGCGAGTTCGTCATCACCTTTCCCTACGGGTATCACTCCGGATACAACGTCGGATACAACTGCGCCGAGTCTGTCAACTTTGCAACCGAGTCATGGCTGGAGTACGGACGGATCGCTCGCAAGTGCAACTGCGAAAGCGACAACGTGTGGGTCGATGTTTTTGAGATCGAGCGCAAGTTGCGCGGCGAGCCAACGCCAGAGTATATCGAAGAGACGGATGACGATTCTGACCTTGATGGCGAAGACGGCAACCTTCCAACCCCACCAGCTAGTGTCAAGGGCAAACCGTCAAAGAAGCGCAAGCGTGGCAAGCAGGAAGAACCGAAAAAGAAGAAGAAGATCCGGATCAGAGTCCGCATTCCAACACGGGAACCATGCGTCATGTGTCCGAACGACAATCCTTGGGAGCCTCTCATCTCCACCGACAATGGCAAAAAGGTTCATCGGTCTTGCGCTTTGTTCACTCCGGAGACCTGGATCGTCAAGGACGACAATACTGGCGCAGAGATGGTGTGCGGCGTCACGACTATCGATCGTGCTCGCTTGGACCTGAAGTGCAATTACTGCCGTTCCAAACGAGGCGCATGCTTCCAGTGCTCTTCGCGCAAATGTACGCGTGCATTCCATGCAACCTGTGCTTTGGCTGCCGGAGTGCAAATCGACGCTGGAATGGTGCCAACCTTCGGTGAAGATGGAACCGAGTACTTCGAAGAAGGCTACGATTTTAGGTGCAAGTTCCACCGACCGAAGCAGGCCAAGAACTTGACGACAGAGATGCTGGAGAGTGGCGCTCCCAGCAAGAGGATCGCAGCGTATGGAAAGGAGGTGAAAGTCAACGATGTTGTGCAAGCGCAGATGGTCGGTGGGGACGTGTTTGCAGGTCTCGTGATTGAGAATCGCGTCGGCGAGATGAGTTTGCTGGTGGATGTCTTGCCCGATGGGTATGTTGTCGCGAACGCCACAAGTGTTGAAATCCTACTGATGATTTAAACAGAGATCGACTCGAGGTGGAGTACAAGTATCTATTGGTACTGGATCCAGAAGACTCGCAACGACCCAAACCCTCTGCAAGCGCTCTGCCTATGCCAGAGGGGATGAACAAGAAGGCCGTCTCCATCAACAATCGTCAGGACGGTGTACCGATCCAAGACGAACCCTTCCACAACAATCCCGACTACAAATGGCACGACTTCTACAACCACCACACACCGCCTCCGGGCTACCTCAATGTGCAATTCCAGGCGCCAATGAAGTTGGAAGTGAACATCGACAAACCGGATCAACTCTACTTCTACCTTGGAGAGGCGTCCACGGAGGCAAAGTGCTTCTTCTCTGACAAACCTGGCAGCAAGGAGATTGTTGCCAAGGCGAACTTTATGGACCGCATGCAACCAAAGGCTCCATCCCAGCCCTTCCGACCAAGCGGATATGGTCAGTTGCCCAAATTGACGCCCAAAAGCGCTGCCGCCCCTCAACCGATCCGATCCCACAAGCCATATATCTACAAACCCCGAACGCCTCTGGAGCCGCGTGGATTCATGTACCAGGTCGATCGCCAGGCTCTTGCGAACCAGCGCAGTTTCCTTGCAGAAAGTGTGCCCGCCCGCGGCTCTGCACCGTCCTCTCTTCAGCAAATGACGAACGCCTTCCAGCTCCCACGGTATGGTTTCGAAGGTGCTGGTGCTGGATCGCCACCTGGAAGTTCATCCGGCCCACTCCGAGCCTTTCCCACCGAGCAATACTACTCCATGAAGATGCTGCCTGCAGCCTATCCTGGCCAGCATTCGGGCTTCACCCAGGCCGCTCGCCGAGAGTCGCAAGGTGCGCAAACGATGACGAAGCCTGATCTTGGCTACACCCCGAACTATCAATCCATCAGAGAACAGCAGGCGCAGATGAAGCAAAGCCAAGCTGGGGCATCGATGACGAATGGGGCGAGTGCATCTGGCTTGGCCATGCCACCAAACCCTTACGAACATCACGGAAGTCGACCATCGTCATCTTTAGACTCCTCGTATCAATCGCCCTACGCAACGCCGTTGATGCCGGGCACTACACAGGCGCGTTCATCGACAACGAAAGAAGGTCCGCCAACCGATGAAGAGTATCTCGCGAATCTCCGGCGGTACCCCTACCTGCTCAAGAGTTATTGCAGGAAGCCAAAGGTCTATGAGTCGCCATATCCACTTGGCGGCGGCTTTAATAGTGCCTACCTCTCCTCCCATTCCCATGAAAGGAACACAGAGCCACCAAAGTCCAGCCACGTACACACCCCACATGGTTCCATCGGCTCTTTGGCAGAAGCAGAGAAGTTGAGCGGACAACAGTGGACACCGCCTTCGCAAGTATGGGATCGCGTGGGCCTAGCGAAGAACCCAACTCCGCCGCTAGGCACACACCAAAACATGCCTCCCCAGCACCAGCAGCCTCGCTATCCGCAACCCACGTATTCAACTGCGCAAGAATTCCAGCGCCAGATTCAAGTCATGCCCAGCACCGCTAGTCGCGACGGCGCGCAAGCCCGCATGCTCCGCGACCAGGGCTATGTGCCTCACCAGCAGCAACAGCAGCAGCAACCGCAGCCGCCTGCCCATTGGTACGGCCCGCATCACCACCAGCAGCAGCTTCAGCACCAACAGCGTAGCAACTCTTTCGGACACCAGGGGTACGATACTGCGCGCATGGAGCAGTATGGTCCTCAGGGAAGCCCCAAGGCTCCGACGCCTAGTCCGCTGTCGGAGAACCCTACGCCTGGACAGACGCCGGGAGGTGCGAGGTCATGGGAGCCGTTGCCGAGGATGGAGATGTTTCCTAACGCGCCGCGGGCATCGGCGGATGGTTATGAATCGCCGGCGATGTGAGTGGTGGGGTTTGACGGTGTGTGAGACGAATCATGAGTTGAGAGATTCTGTGGCTGAAGGAAGAGGCTTTTGGAGTGCAGCGAGCAACGATTATGATGGGAGGAAGCGTTCCAACGTTGCTAACGTTTGCTGACGAAGGAGGGAGGTATCTTGGTGCGGTGGTTACGCTTCATGCTGAATATATGTGACTATACCACTCACTCAAGCAGGTAGCAGGAACAACGTTCTACACAAACCGTTCTGATCTTGTCTTCTCTTCTTCCCACTCATCGTCGTCCAATCAGTCCTCAGTGAAATCACGCTCGCTACCGGGCCAGGCTGCAATGCGAAAATGTTCGCTTACCGTACACCGTCCGAGGAGCTGAAACATTAGTCAGCCTAGCCATTGTCGTTGCCTACCCTCCCGTCGATGTCAGGTTGCCTAAAGTTTGCCATCAACTACTCTTCAGCTGAAGAACCATGCTTCACGCCGACGACCGCGTGTCGCAAGCCTGGCAGGTTGTAGATCCTACGCACGTCAAATCACTCTCATGCTCTCAAACGGTGGATTATGACAATCCCCCTGTTACGCCGGCGAGCCAAACATGCCAAAGTACGGACGGGATGCCGCACTTGTCGCGACCGACACGTGAAGTGTGACGAGCAACGGCCGACGTGCAAGCGCTGCGAGGACGCCGGAAAAGCCTGCGCTGGCTACGATGCGGCCCAAGTATGCCCTCCAAAACCCCAATTGGCCCGCCAAAACCCGACCTTGCGCAGTTTGGCCAGCTTCGCTTGCCCCCTGACGAGTCGAGAGAAGCATGCCGTCGACTTTTTCCGACTTCGTGCTATCCACCAGATGCCAGGCAGCTCCTGGCTGCTTGCATGGGACCGTCTTGTTCTCCCACTGTTCCAGACTGAGCCCGCCGTTCTGCACGCCGCCGCGGCTTTGGCATCGCTGCAACGAGGCCTGATTCCACTCTCCCCTGCCTTCGATGGCGTCGATCAGGCAGAGGATCTTCGATTCGCGCTCGAACAATACAACCGAACAATCTCCTCCCTGGGCGCGAATATCGAGCTTCTAGAGAAGCAGCGCTCAGCCAGCGCTGCAGAAGCTGTCCTCGTGGTGTCACTACTCCTGTTCGCCTTTGAGCTTCTGCATGGAAACGAATCCCGTGCCAGCATACATCTCCGCGGTGGCATGAAGGTCCTGATGCAACAACTCCAGTCAACTCCACGGACGAATGAGGGCGCCTCTGAAGGAGGTGAGGTGGTGTTACGTGCTGAACCGCGATCGCTAATGGACCTCTTGACTCATGGCTTTGTCCGACTGGATGCCGACTTGTCTCTACTTGCCGGCCAGAGTCCTACTCTTTACCCCACCGTTAATGGACAAATACCGTCGGCTTTCTCCTCATTACGAGAAGCTGCCGTGCATCTCGACGCCATCGAACGAGACGTAGGAGACACCTGGTGCGAGATGTTCAAGCTTGCCGAGGAATACGTCTACCAGTCCTATGAGAACGCAGAAACTGTAAACGAGGAGATACTGGAGCTGCTCATTATCGCGAAATCTCGCACAATACCACTTGATTCGGCGCCCGAGGTCGAGCGGAAAACGGAAAAGATCACAGCCACCTTGACGCAATGGATGTTCGCGTTCGCGGCGCTCCCTATAGCCGGCGAGAAGAGGCTGGAGCGGATCCTCGTGGAAGCGCAGTTCTTCTGCCTTTGGATGACTGCTGGTACATGGCAAGACGAGGACGAGCAGCCGACCGACCGCTTCCTTGACCAATGCAAGCACATGCTAGACTCCATCGCGTTGTACGTGAAGCGTCACCAGGCATTTATTGCCGAATCTGGGTCGGAAACCCCGGAAACAACCGCACAAACCCAACCTGCATTTGCTGTTGGTACTGCTCTTGGTCCGGCGCTGAGGGTCATCATTGAACGCTGTCGGGACTCGCTCCTTCGACGGCAGGCCATAAGTCTTTTGCGGGGTATGAACATGCGCGGCGTACACGATGCAGAATTTCTAGCCTCATTCTACGAGGCGCTTGTGGATCTGGAAGAGAGCCAGGCCAGAGACATGCTTGGCCAACCGGCTCACGCCCTATTTCAATGCCACCACATCCCTTCAGCAGCACGGATTTTGGAGAGTCGCATTGGGAACCCTGAGCTGTATGACGATTTCTACCACCGGCCATATGGGCACATGCTGTACATCACCTTGGATGCTGAGGGTGAAGCTCAAGCACACTCTCAAGTCTTCTTCGTCCCAAGACCTGGATCCCCTGCGAGCGTAAATACAGTTCTTCCTGGACATGGTTTCCCGGAAGTGTCTACTCTGGCACCAACTGCCCCATCGCCCTCCAAAAGTCACACCTGAATCCCCGCCCGCCTTCCCAAGTATACGCATTGACAAGCGTTATATTGTTCAGATCGCCCGGCAAGCCACAGGTTTCCAAGTGTTCCAAAGCATGTCGGTGGACGCCGCAAGTTGCATTCAAGTCGATCATGTATGGCTGGTAATTGGTGTACGGTGGCCAGTTACTCGCCGGGTTCGAAGCATTTGTCATGGCGCCAGGCGTGACGCCGTTCGCGATCTGGTTCGATATTGAGGGGTTGGAGTCGATGATGAAGTTTCCGATGATCTTCCGAAAGGCCGTTGTGAGGTCTTGTGAGTAGACCATGGGTCCTTCGCGCGCAAGATATGCATTGGTGTCGTCGCCATGCAAGGATGGTAGAACGGAGAACTGGTATTTGTATGAGTTGCCACCTGCAGCATTCTGAGAATACGCTTGTGCCATCCACAGAGCGGGACAATCGAATGTGATCTCGGCATAGATGTTGTCGGCACGCTGCAGCTGTCCAGTCTCTACGTTGGACTGGTTGATGGCCGTCGGTCCGCTAATGCCATTCGTTGCGAAAAGAGGCGCCTTTGGATTCACCGATGCATTCGTGCTGGGGTAGTACTCCAGGACCCTTGCAATGTCATTGTTGGTGAAGAGGGGGAACGTGAGTTTGAGCCAGGCAACAAGCTCTTCCTCGGTATCAATGTTGCCGGAGAATCCTGTACCTATTTTGCCACGAGCATGAAGATCAGCAATCATTCCGAGACACTTCTTCGTTTGCGACCTGGCTTACCTTCGTTCGCATTGTTGCCAATCAACAGATTCACGCCGTTCACTTGATTTCGCAGGAGTTGGCGACTGGGCAGATCCTGGACGAAAGTGCCATCCGTGACAGGCAAGAATGCCCTGTGCAAGCGTTATTAACGGCCATGGAGGGCAATTCTTTTACAACCCACCATTGCCCATACACGGTCAACTGCGACACGGTCGCACTGGCGTTCATCAATACCCGCGACTCAGCATTCTGCAAACACTCAAAGATCGGCGTCGTCTTCGGAGCTCCATACGGCTCCATGGAGTAGCATCCCGCGTGTGCTGCGAACGCATAGTATGTCTGCGAAGGTAGCCAGTCCTTGTAGCCCCACTGCATGGGAAGATAAGGGCTCGCAGCGATGCTGTTCTGGAAGAGTTGCGTACCCAGCGAGCCGCCGTAAGCCATGCCTTGCAGCATGACCGAGCCGCCGCCCGCCGACTCGCCGAAAATCGTCACGCGTCTGGGGTCGCCGTTGAACAGGTGGATGTATTTCTGCACCCACTGGAGGGCCAGATGCTGGTCGAGCAGGCCGGCATTGACGACTCCTTTGCGGTAGACTTCGTCCGAGTTGAGGAAGCCGAATGCGCCGAGCTGGCGGACAGGATCAGCGCGATGCTGCATTGTGTAGCGCGGGGATCAATCGAAACATACCCTGTATTGAATGACAACAGCAATGAACTGGTTGCCATTGGTATTGATCAGTGGCTGAAAGCCATCGGTGCCATCTCCCTCGCCATAACCACCGCCCTAAAACGAGGAAAAGTCAGACAATCGGCAGCACGAGGACTCGCAAAGCTGAAGACCGACGTGGATGGAGAAAACGACCGGCAGCGGAGAAGCACTCGTCGCATTGCTGGGCACGTAGACATTCAAGAACAAGCAATCCTCCGACGCTCCCGCCTGACTTTGCGCCAGGATCGGCAGGCCATTGGCTTCAGGGCTCTGGGGGCAGCTCGGTGGGAAACGCGTGGCGGAGATGATGCTGTTCCGATTGACGACCGGCTCGCGTGGAGCTTGCCATCGCAGCTTTCCGATAGGCGCTTGAGCGTAACGGATTCTGGCGCGAAGTCAATCAATGAGTGTGTGCGTGGAGCATATCAGGCTTTTTGCCACTCACCCTTTCCACACATTGATAGCATGGGGTGCGTCGGAGTATCCGTGATAGATACTATAGCCCAGATCGACTTGTAAGGAAGAAGTCGTCGTGTTTGAGTAAGGAGGACTCTGAGTTGTCCGAATAGACGCCGCTGCGGTTGTCAGCGCAGCAACAGCGGCAGTGAGAAGAGCGAGGAAGAGCATGTTTGAGGGATTGATACGAGGCAGGCGGGGACTACTACCAAACCGCGCCGGGGATGTTTAAATACGGCGTCTGCCATTGTTGTAGACGGCATCATTAAAACTCGCTAGGCAGATGTTGCGAGGCTGTGGTTCAATGGGCCGATCGGTACGAGAGTACCCAGGCAGCAAGTAAAGGAACCATCCGGCCAACCTTAATGGAGGCCAACCATTCCAACCATTCCGCCTTGGGCAGACTCACTCGCCCATCAGAGTTCCTGCTCGTACAGACTGGCCAATGGCGTGGCGCGGCCTAGGCAGAAACCGTTGCAACGCGGATGCAAGGCTGGATCGTGCGGCCGTTCCCCGACGTCGTATCCTTTTCAATTTCCCTTGCCTCGTAAAGGCGCTTCTCACAGCCTCACCAAGCCCGATCGCGCTTGAGTGCTATAAAGATCAGCCATTGTCTCCGCCCGTACCGCATCCTTCATGATGCTCATCTTGTCCGTTTCGTACCTTCTTCACAGTGTCCAGTCCGCTTGATTTCCAACCCGCACAAATGCGGCTCCCCACGCTCAGCCTTTGTTGGTGCATTGGGCTCCTCACGGCCGTGCATGCCTACACCGTGCCGTCTAACCTTGCCTCATTCTACAGCAAGCTCGCGGCGCAAGAACAGTGCAACCACACGCTCAAAAGCGGCTTCGGGAATGGCGACACTGATTATCCGAGTGAGTTGCACACACCCTCTAGCATCTGCCGATGAGCGTCGATCGCTAAGGACCAATCCTCCGCCAGACGACTGGTCGTATTGCGAAACGGACAACATGCTGTACATCCACCACAACGGCGGCGGCCTGGCCTCGATGGCGATCGATGTCGATGGCAAGCGGCCGAAAGGGGACAATCCGCAGGACTCCCAGGATGGCACGGCTTTTGAGGGCATCTTGAAGAGGTACAACGTCTCTGGAGTGACGGACTTGGACCCCTACATCCATCCTTACGTGGTATTCGGCAACCAGGGGACGAAGAAGGGATATACTACCTTCCACCCCCGCATGTACGACATTCAGCCCTTGAGCGTGATGGCCGTGGTGTGCGCGGACAAGTTGGTACGTGCGGGATTGGAAACGGAGGTCTTACTTCCCGTCAACCTTCTGACGCGCATCCGCGCAAATAGATCTTCGGGATTTGGGGCGACACCAACGGCGACGACGACTGGCCCTCCATCGACAGCGTCGGCGAAGCCTCGCAAGCGGTGGGATCCGCGTGCTTCGGCAACGCCGTCAATGCCAGCTACGGGCACGCCCGCGACGACGTGCTGTTCCTCGCCTTCAAGGGCGCGGAGGCCGTCCCTGGGCCCCGCGGGGCTCGATGGGCCGCGACTTCCTACGAAGAGTTTGAGACGAGCATTGCGGGACTTGGGAATCGGCTGCTGGCTCAGGCTGGGTTGGCGGGGAGCGGCAACGGGACTGCGAGTCCGACTGCACCTCCAGCTGAGACTCCTACGGGCGGCGGCGGATCTTCTTCGGCGGCACCGACTACACCACCAACTCGAACTCCTTCAGGCGGCGCATCTGCGACTCCGGCTGCTTCACCAGCCCAAACTCGTACAGGCGGCGCATCGTGCAATGGATATAGTGCAGCAGCGATGTTTGCTTTGCTGGCGGCTTTGCTCTGTATCGTGTAGCAAGAGGGTGAACGGATGTAGCATCGGCGTGTATGAATACCAGTCTACTGATCGAGTCAAGTGTCCAATAGGGTCGTAATTTTCGTTACTACAGACACCTCCGCTAGCGTCCGCCTCTTCCACCCAATCACGCACACCTCGCAATCGCGACTTCACACGTTCTTCTCCGCCTCGCGTCCATTGGAAGGCTGCCAAGGGTGGGGCTGCCTGACGGGTTTGTTCGTTCGCCACCGCGGGTTGGATCTGAATCAAGAGACACTCGGGACCCGCGGGATCGTCTGCATGCGGTGGCTGAGCGGCTCAGCCAAGAACGCGTGGATGTAGACGACATTGATTCACATGCTTCTGAAGGGAACTATATTCCTTTCGCTTCCTGTCATTCGTGCCTACCTACTTTCCCTGCGACCATTCCAATCTCATCAATCGCATTTGCCACCACCATCTCACCTGCTTACTCGTAATCATACTATCCAAAGCGCCACCACCCCAGAAACCAATCCCGTCATCGTTTCCAACCCAGTTGCCAGACAGCCAATCCCCCAGACCAACCCCCCACACATACCACAATGGAACCCCGAAAACCCTCCACCGAAACCGACAGACGCCACCTCCTCGCCTCCTCAGCATCAAGCATCGCCCCCTCCGACTCCGTCTCCGTGATAACCGCAAGGCACGGCGACAACGACGGCGACGCCACACCACGCGCCCGCTCCCCCGCCCGCTCAATCGCCACAACCACCAAAACCAGCACCTCGCAACCCTACCGCGGCTTCCCCTCCGAAGAAGCCTACCTCGCCGCCCTGCGGGCCTGGGCGGACGGGCAGAAGTTCACGTCGTTTGACACGAGCTTGATTGGATTCTACGGCGAGCGGACGGCGGAGGAGATTGCGAGTCAGCCGCGGCCGGAGTTTGGGCTGCGGAAGAAGTGGAGGGCGCGTAGGGAGAGGAAGAATTCTGAAGCGCAGGCGCAGGGCGTTGGGGTTGGGCAGACGACGGTGGAGCAGAGGCGCGGGACGGTGGGGTGATGTTTCTGTAGAGAGGGGTGATAGGGTAACGACTTGATGACTGGTGGACGGCGCTTTTGTTGAAACATACGGGATGAGATTGTATTGCATTGAAGACATCTGCGGGGTATAAGTATCGCAATCACAATGTACATGCACGCTCTGCAGCTGGTTCCGTCTCCAACCCCGCACCTGCCATGCATTACTCCTCTGCCGTCGAGGAGGTAGTGGGATGAAATGCCATCGAATGCTCGCTCTCTGTCCATGATGTCGGAGTCGATGTCCGCCGTAACTCATGCTCTGCCAGCCCTCTTCAGCATCAAATGTGTGCTACACATGCGTGCTGGCAAAGCTGCTCACATTAGCATTGTCATCACTAAGCATAGCTGTTGGTTTTGCGGGTGCAGAGGTGGGTGCGGAGGTGAGTGCGAGGTGCTGGTCCGGGTTCGTGTTGGCGGAGGCGGTGCTGGTAGCTTGATGGTGATCAACATTACCGACAGGGATCGCCTTGCCCGCCTTGCCCGCCTTTTCCTCTTCCTGCTGTGCGTACTCCCAGCACATGAACTGCCAGTTCAACTCCTTCCGCCAGCAGAGGCCGTAGCCCAGCCCGACAGGCCCGGTATCGTTGCTAACCATCTCGGCTGTCAGGCCTCCCGTTTGTGTCATCCGTTCGCTGAAGATGACTTTGCCAACCCGACTGTGCACGAGTGCCATCGAGCACATGATGCAGGGCTCGTGCGTGAGGAAGACTTCGAGGCGAAGGCAGAGGTATCCGTCCGGTTTGATGTTGTCTTGGGCGAAGTACTCCTCCTCCAACGGGGTGACGGGGAGGTCGAGGAAGAAGCCGTCTCGAGCCTTTTCATCGTGGTCGAGGCCACAATTCTCAAATGTCCGCTCCGCCTTGGCTGCTTTGCTGGAGACGGGGTGGGAGGCAACACGCAGACGTTTCCGCCCAATCATGCCGATGGCTCGCATCACAGCGTGACCCATCACGTTGCCACTGCAAGCATCTTGTGCGTCCGTCATGCCTGCAGTGCTCGGTAGAGCTTTGTGACGTGCATCGCCAGCGACGGCCAGGATTTCCGCCTTGTTGTCAACACGCTCGATGATGGTGCAGCCGGGGCCGACACCATATCCCATGGCCTGTGTCTCGTGCGCCGCACGCTCTGCCAGTATCATCGCTTCTTCGACGCCGACGCTCTCGTACCCAGGATGGGACAGGTCCTCTTCAGCTTTGGCGATGGTTGCAGGGTGCGCACCAAAGGGATTTGTCTTGCGGTAGAAGGTCGGCCAGTAGTTGTCCGTCCACATATCGGCTTGTGCAGGACTGGTGGGAGCCTGGCGAGGAACAGTGACCTCTTTAATCTCCAACGGGTACGCCCAGGAGTCCGCCGATGAGCAGAAGGGAGCGTATTCGAGCAAGAGGTTGTGGAGTTCTGAGAGGGAGATGAGGTTCGTCCCACAGATCAGCAGGTACAAGGTCTGTGGTTTGTGGTTGATGCGGGGCTTTGCGGGGACCGAGTACTCCCAGACGGCGGTGGAGGGGGCTTGCATGACGGAGAGCGGCGTGGATTCCCAGGCCCGGGGAATGGCGTACATCTCTTTGATGAGATCTCGTTTGCCGAGGACATGCTTGGGCAGGGACTTCGGTTTGGCGAAGCGACGGAGGTGCTGAAGATCGACGGCATCCTGGCCTTCAATTCTATCTTTGACGACTCTGCAAGATGATGTGAGCAAGTGTGAGACAGAGGAAAGGAGGAGGGCTGAACGCACTTCAAGATCCCTTCTGCGTGCTTACTAGGCATCTCCACAGCCCAGACCTGAATAGTCTCGTTTCCCAGCCGACACTCCTCCTTCGTCTTGAGGTGGATCATCTGGCGGACAGGAAGCTCGGCAGGTTCCGTAGGACTGGGAGCCTTGCTGTCTGCTCGGGCGGCCATGTCTGTCCGGCGGGCACGAAGTCGTGCAAGGGGGAGGACGTAGGAGAGGAAGCAGGAGAAGGCATCGTGAAGAAGACGACACGCATGACGTAAGGTTGTGCAGTGCATGCGCAGGCAGGCGCGGAGGAAGGCGCGCAGTCGAGCAAGCGCCGACATCATCGTGATTGTTGTGGAAGGTGCGAGTTGGGCAAGTTTGATTTGCAGCGCGCAGGGCAACCGCGGCCGATTATTGATGATGTCTTTTCCGTCAGTCGAGTCGAATCGGACATGATGCGTCGATGAGTTGCAGTGCGGCGACGATGCCGAAGTTGTGAATGTCGAGAAAGATGAGGTTGATTGAAATCCCCAGAAATTTATTGTCGGCCCAGTTGATCCGCACATGCAAACTTGCCCTTTTGGGCAGGTTGCAGCAGCTCGGACCCGCAGGCAGCTGCCCCACCTTGCCCACTTCACCTCTCCATCTCGTGAATGTCGGCCACACTCTCACCTGTTACTTGTGACAATCAACTGCAAATCAGTGACATCCAACTGCAATCAGGTGCGCATCGTATTAAAGTCTTCGCGTGCAACGAATCATCAGCCAAAATGAATGCCGCATCCCAAGTCTTCCACATCCCAGAGCTGCTGGAGCTCATCCTGCTCTCTCTCCCCGACGATACAATCCACACAGAGACGAGAAGCATGCGAACCATTCACACCGCGCAAACAACATCCCGCACCTGGCACGAGCTCCTCTTCCATTCCACTCCTCTGCGTCACAAACTTTACCTCCCAACACCATTAGCGATCCCCGAATCCCACGCTTGGCTCGAACAAAGCGCCTTCCCACCCGCACAGCCGTGCCCCTGGATTCCGCAGTTGTTACTGAACCAACGGAGCTGGGGCTCAGCGTGGCCGTTTGAATCTACCTATTCACGATCTCTCTACGAAGGGCCCAAGCCGTCCAAACCGAAGCATTGGACGTTCTCCCTGGAGCTTTCGAAAGCGCAATTCGGTCGCCTTCCCAAGTCGGGTGAATGGAGATCTCACCTAGCCACTAATCCTCCCTTTACCGATTTCTGGTACACTCGCTCCTTCTACGAACTCGGCAGCGGACGGGCCCCGTTCGTGACGCATCTCGACTACAACGCCAAAGTGCCGAAGAGCGAGCAGAAGTACGTCGTTCATCGGCCCGGCGGTGTGACGCTTGGCGATCTAGTGGATGCTTATACGCATCTGTTTGAAACGCATCCGGCGGCGAAATTCATCCTGATTGAGAGTTTGCGGATCCTGCCAATCGACGAGGTCAAGCTCGAGGAAGACCGGCCGACCACAAAAATGTACATGCCTGGCTCATCTGCTGAAAGATCGCTAGATTGGTAGGACTGATTGTTTGCATTGCAGGTCGAACTTTTTTCAATGGCGAAGCTACATAACCGGCTGACCGTTGCATAACGACTTATGAACTGCAAGAACACTGCATAGCCCTTTGGTACTTTGGCACATCGCCGCAGAAGCGCTCTGCTTCCTCTTTGTCGCCATCCCATTCTTCGTTGAATGGATTCAGCGCCATCTCCATAAGGTGCCCCAAGATCTGCCGATCACCCTTCTTCTCCACTCGCTCAATTGCCTCGTCGAGAATCCAGCTGCGCGGGATGAACTTGGGGTTGACCGCCTTCATCGCCTTGGAGCGCTCTTCATTCGCAGACTCGCCCCAGTCCTCCTTGACGCGATCGGCCCATTTCACGAGCCACTTGGCAATGCGCTCTCTGGCATCGTCTTCCGACCCTACGAGGCCAGACAGTCCTTCTTGATGGAAGAAGCGACCTGCGACTTCCTTCCTCTTCTCGTCCGTGTCAATATCTTCCAGCGAGACCGATGACAAGCGTCGGAAGGTATGGTTGAAGTCCAACTCCAGGCCCTCGAGGAATCCGAGATATTCAGAAATAAGATCGTCCAGATCGCTCTCTTTGACAGCCTTCAAGCCTAGTCTTGCGACCATCAGACGCTTGTACTCCGCCAAAAAGACCTTCTGATACTCTTCGCCCACAGCTTGAATGATATGTTGACCTCGCTTGACGACGTCCTGGATCCACTCTTCTGCGACACCCTCATTCTTGAATTGGTCGGTGTCCACCTTGTCACCAGCACCAATCAACTCGCCGAAAGACTCGCCCAGACGAGTGAGATTCCACCAGATGATTTGGGGCTGGTTCTTGTAGGCGTATCGCAGCATGTGGTCGTCGTGGTTCGGGCTGTAACTGGGATCGAAGTTGTCAAGGAACGCAAATGGGCCGTAATCGATTGACAGCCCGAAAATGGACGTGTTGTCGGTGTTCAGCACGCCGTTCGTAAATGCATATGCCTGCCAAGCAGCCACGCTCTTTGCGTTTCTGCGTACGATTTCCCGGTAGAGGCGAGAGTAGCGGTTCTCCTGCTCCTCGGGCTTGTCTGAGGTGCCTTGCAATTCGTCTTTCGCAACACCACGGCTGGGGTGCACGACATCCTTCTCCTCATCCGATGCCAGTTTTCCGGGTAATGTTTCCCATGGAATGACATCCTCCCCGAGATAGTCGGCCAGTTTGCGAATCAACTCTCGATCCCCTCTCGACCGCGCAAGATCGAAAGTTCCGATGCGCAGCCAGCTCTCCGCGAACCGACAGACGATAGCCCCCGGCTCAGTCATCTCGCGCCGCACTCTCGCCTCAGGCGCAAGGACCAGACTCAGCGCGCGGGTGGTCGGAATGCCAAGGGCGTGCAGTGACTCGGAGACCACGAACTCTCGCAGACTGCTCCTCAGCACCGCTTTGCCGTCGGCGAAGCGAGAGTACGGTGTCTTGCCCGCGCCCTTCAGCTGTAACTCATATCTCTTCCCCGTCGCCGGGTTCGTCGTCTCAAACAGACTGATCGCCCGTCCGTCGCCTAGCTGGCCAGCCCATTGTCCGAACTGGAATCCACCATAGCACTGTGCCCAAGGGTAAATGCTTTTCTCCTCAGGCTCCTTCCCTTCCTCAAGAGTGATGATCCTATTTCCAGCGACCGTCTCTTTGAACTCGTCCGTGTCCACAGTCGCAGGATCGATAGCGAGATCCTTCAGCGCCGCCTTGGAAACTGCGAGCAGTTCCGGGTTCTCGATGTGATCCGGCCGAACGAAAGTATACGCCGCATTCTTCACCAATCGAGGGCCGAGCTGCTTGCGCTCGGCTTTGTGTGATTCGGCGGGGGTGGGGTATTGCTCGTCAGGCGGGAGTTTGGAGGTGAAGGTGTTGGACTTTGGGAGGTCTTTGAGACTGAATGTCTTCTGATCGGCGCCCGGTTGGCCGTGGACGAGCCCGGCCATGCTTGCGAGTCTGCGAGTTGTGTGGCGATGGATACTTGTTTGTGATGCGCGCTGGATCGCAGTTCGAAGCATAAAATTGCTGGAAATGGTGGTATAGATTTCAAGGATGGAGGAATGAAGGGAAGAGGACATGCGATCAGTACAACAATACCTCAACGTCCGTCGGCGTGGCATTCGCCTTCGAGCCTCACTCTGACATCATCTGCGGCAAAGCAACGACCTCGACGATTGCGGGCGAAGGGTTCGCGGGATCGGCCAAGAGTAGCGCGAAGCTTAAATCGACTTTTGATCGTCTCAACTGCACGCGGTTTCACACTCACACCAACATTCAGCTAACGACGAAACGTCCAGGCCAGCCAACCAAACGCGGCGCAACACAACTTGGCTTCCAATTTTTACCACCCGGATCATGCACTCCTGGTTTCATTATCATCACTTCAGTGACCCCTGCCCGCCAGGATGAATCGCGGAGATCTGCCCGGTTACTACTGGGATGAAGACAAGAAACGATACTTCAAGATTCAAGCCAATCACCTTGTTCCGGAGGCAGCAAAGTATGCCAAGGGCAACGTTAATCAGGAACGCCGGATCTCGAAGAAACGCAAGACGGAAACGCAGCAAAAAGCAAAGCGGCAGTCGGCTCTTATGCGCAAGGCTCCCGTCTTGAACTCCTCAGTGCTCGGCGGGACTGGTCTGGGTCGTGAGCTGGGCGTCGATCAAAGGTACCGGCAGTATGGGATGCAAAAAGATGCTGCGCTGGTGTCACAGTGGAAGGCAGAGCGTCTTGATGTGCAGTTACCACTAAAGTACCGCGCAGATGCGAGAGTGCGCCAAGTCCACCACGTCCCGTGGTCTGGCAAGGTGATTGTCGCAGCAACACAATCTACCAGTGGCCACAGTGTGCTCTTAGATTATCACTACGATTGGGACGAAGCATCCGAAAGCGTTTTCCTTGGATTCAACACCATATCACCCATCACGGCTTTCAACAGCAGCATCGCTTGCGTTTCCTACCGCAGGGGCAACGCGGAAGGTCATGAGTTAGACTCACTGATGATCGCGTGCGCGGAGCAGTACCAGGTCGGTAACGTCTCCTTCCGAGCGCTGCGCTACGGTGATGAAGGGCACCTCACTTGTGGCTGGGATGTCACCCTTGGCTCCACCGGCAGTAGCATTGGTGACTCCGCGTTCCATCTCGCCACGACTCGGGCCGCCATAATCGGATCATTTGGAATCGCTGTCATCGATTGCGAGGGCAGGTTGAGGCAGCGTATCCCAGCGCCGGAGGAGTCGGAGGAGTGGCCGCAATGTGCGCCTTGCGTCGAGTGGCTCAATCAAAACACGGTGCTGTATGGAGTCAAAGAGGACAAATACAGTGTCATGCTGTGGGACACTCGAACACCGGATGGCAAAGCAGCGCGCTTCCAGCTCCACAAGCGACTTACCGGCCTCCTCAATCCACAAACGGACGACACCACTGATTTCGGGCCCTTCCATTTCTTCAACTCCGACTTTTATCGATACCCGATCCATCGCAATCCATACGAGATCTTGGCTTCGACAAACCATGACATCAATCTGTTCGATACCCGCATGCCGTCGATAAATGGCCGGGATCCACCCGTGCTGACAATGCCCCACGTTCACGGCGGTCCCAGGCTTCACTATGCGGCGAAAGGCTCCCTCATCGCCGCCGTCGACCGGGACAATATTGTGCAAGTGTACTCCACACGGACCGGAGCGAAGGTTTCGGCTCTGGATGCGCCTGTCTGGCGGCCGCGGAAGCTGGAGAGTCCTGCTTTGCATCACTTATCGTGGTATGATGATAACGACCGCGGGTCGACTTTGCTGGCGGTGCAGGGAAATGGGATTGTGAGGTGGACTTGGGGCAGCCCGGATGATGAATGATTGATGCTTGGCTTTCAACCATGCATTTTGCAGGCCCTCGTGCAGCCCGGAATACCCGATGCGCACAACGATCCACTCTACATAGCGTGTGGCAGCTCGGTACATACAAGCGGCCGATTAATCATCGGCGGGAATGACAGCTTCGGAAACCTCTCTGGAGATCTCCATGATGCTCGCAATCTCGTGGGACGGTGTTCGCCCCCAGCCGCATTCCGTCGCCACGCCAAAGTCGAAGTCGCCCAGGGCCGTTTTTGCCGCTTCGATTCGCTTCTTCGTGCCCTCCAAGTCATTGGGATGGACCAAGCCTAGATACAGCTCCGTGCCATGCTCTGCGAACTTGGGGAGGAGCGGTAGTATGGAGGTAAAGTACGAGTCTAACTTGTCCATCGCACTCAGAGGGACCGGCACGTGGAAGAAGTCAATGCGACGCGGCGTCTTCTCGAAGAGTCGAAGCCCACGTTCCGCGATCACCGCTAGCGATTCGGGTTCGACGAAATGCTTGTGGTCCAAGTCGCCTACAGTATGTCCATTAACGGCGTAACGAAAACGAGGAGCTTGGATCGCCTACCATAACAGTTGTGGATGCCGACTTCGACATCTGGATCAATGAGGGAAATCATCCGCACAGTGTGATCGATCATGTACTGCCTCCGCTGCTCCAACTCGCCGGGCTGTTCATGGAACCACGGCGGCGTGTGTTCATAGCCAATCCATATCGCCGTATCCACGGCAAGATCGATTTGAATGGCCAAATCTTCGTGCGGAATGGCATCCTGAAGGGCGCGCATGTCGCGAAGGAGCGCCTCCTCGTAGATGGCCGAGCCCTCGCCGCGGAATTCGGGTACCATCCAGTGTCCGATGTTGAAGTAGGAGGGCAAGCAGACCTGGAAGCGCACACCCTTCTGTAGCGCGCCTTGTCGGCGGAGCGCGACGAACTTCTGGTAGCTTTCAATGGCCGCGTCGTCGTAGCCAGTCTTGGGAGCAGCGCCCTGAAGACGCTTAATGCTGGCCGACATCTGCGCGGGGCTCAAAGGAGGCGGGGCGTCAAGTTTGTACTCGCGCTCCAGCGGAAGGAGCATTTCCGGCGCGGCCTGGAAGAACTGCCTCTGCCAATGGGTGAAGTAGTAGCGAACCCCAGTCTCGCCGTCCGGGATGCGCTTGAGGCGGCCTGGCATGGCGGCGGTGCACTCGCGGAACACGGCCTCGGTGTCGGGCAGGCATACTGAGCCGACTAGATGGCAGCCTTTGACTCGTCCCATGACAACTCTCGAGTGGTATGCAAATGTTGCTGGGTGTGAGCTTTGATGAAGATGCGAGCGCATTCCGGGAATGTCTTGCCGCCATATTGGCTCTTATACCCACAGGTCATGTACTCAGCCCTACGTCATGTGATCTGCTTACGTAGCATAGCCTGGGTGCAGCTGCATCCACCACGAAAGGAAGACGGATGTAGCTGATTCCACAACAACTTGACATGCTTGGCGGATCTCATTCTGACTTACCCACATCTGCGCAACGTCAGCTCGACTCCACATCTTCAATCGTGTCAGCCTGATTGTATCAATTGCATGTTGAGTAGACCGAATTAGTAATCGGGTCAGCTCCAACTCCGCGGCTGGGTGTGTATGTAAGGTACGAACGGAGGTTTCTTCTGTATTTCTATCCCTCGCTTGTCATATCTTATCAGACAAAAAGTCCTCCTTCTTGCTCGCTTTCGTCAATGGCTCCAGCAAACGTGCTCATTACGGGCGGCTCTGGATACATAGGCGGCACTCTCCTGTGGCACCTCACTCAGCACAAGGAACCCTCCATCCCCACCTCATCAACCCTCTACTCTCTCGTGCGCAGCGAGGATCAAGCCAACCAGACGAAAACAGTCTACGGCATCGAACCGCTGGCTCTCGATCTCTCTTCTGAAGAAGACATCTCTCTAGCTTTGGAGAAGCACAGCATCCACATCGTCGTTTTCCTCATCGATTCCCGGTCGAGCAATGTGGCACTCCGCTTCATCAAGGCGCTTGAGAAGCTGCAGCGAAGAACTGGCGTGCAGACGCATTTCGTCTACGCTTCGGGCGCCAAGGGGTTTAGTAGCCATGTCGACTTCCCACTGGAGCCGCCGGTGAGCGACGAGGACGAGAGGATGTATGCCATTCAGAAGGGCCAGGAGAGCTGCACGAAGAAAGGGAGAGTGGTGAGTAGTGTGGCTTGTGCCTCGCGGTGTCGATGCTGACGTCGTCTGTCCAGATTCCGACAGCCAACAACGCCATTATCGAAGCCGCCGAAGCACACGGCGTGCGGGCATACGTCGTCGTACCATGCATCGTCTACGGAGAAGGTGAGGGATTCGGCAAGAAGGTCTCGATCCAGACTGTTGCCGTGGTGAAAGCTGCGCGTGCGAAAAGGAAGATGTACAGCGTGACGCCTGGGCGAGCGGTGAGTTGCCGCGTGTCGTGCGATTGACTTGCGATCAGTCGGCTGACAGTACCGTCCAGATCTGGCCCGTTTGTCATATCCGCGATCAGGCCTCGATGCTAGCCTGCCTGTTGAAGAACATTCTCACCGGCGCCAAGGTAGGCCACAATAGAAACGGCTACTTTCTAGCCTCCCCTGGCTCGGTGGCGTGGGACGACATTTACGCTGCAATGGGCGCAGCTCTGTTGCGACATGGAATAGTCGATGACGATAAAGTGATCGAGGCAGACCAGGAGGCATTGCAGCTCATGGCGAAAGCTTTGGAATGCACGCCAGATACGGTCAGCTTGGAAATGGGTGGAACGTAAGTGGCGAATAGAGGCTGTCGGGATCGCTCGAAACTGACAATCTTGTGTAGGTGCACTTGGATACCGAAGCATGCAAAGAGTATTGGTTGGGTGCCGACATACAAACCCAAACATATTCTCGAGGCCGCAAATGCTGAGGTCGACCTGATTTTGCAATAGACCGCTTCTACAGAAGGCGTTGGATTGATGTGTGCTCGCATTCCCTTCCATTGTAAAGTGAGCTGAAACATAACAACGTGAGGAAGACTGAAGAGATAGATAGATAGATAGATAGATAGATAGATAGATAGATAGATAGATAGATAGATAGATAGATAGATAGATAGATAGATAGATAGATAGATAGA